TCTAGAGTCTTCTAATTGTATCTCCTTGATATGATGCCTACAACGAGGTTCATATCTAGACTAGGTTGATATCTAGAATTTGCCATAAATAGCTTTGCTACATTTACAGTATAAATAGTGGTCTGGATATACAACATTGCAAGTTGAGAAAGGCGTTGTAAAAGGCTGTTAAGTGAAGACACACGATTTGTACATTTTTACGGATTTGTACATTTTGGCAGTGAAAGAATGGTGTTGTTAAGAAATTTGAGTTCAGCTCAATAAAAGAATTTCCGAACAACACCACTCCGTACCTGCCAAAATGTACAAATTGAGTGATTCCTGCTTAAGATGAAGACAAACATAGGGAGCTGCGAAAACGTTAAAATTTAAAGCTACCATAAAAGCATAGCATACATATCGTCGATGTTTTTGCAAAACTGCCCATCGAACAGTTGCAAAACCGCCTAAATAGCCATTGTGACAAAACCGAGATGTGGTAACCCAAGAATCGTAAAATTCTTACTAAAACAACAGATTTGTAAAATAATAGCTTAAGAAAATACCGCCTATCAGGGCAATGCCTTCAAAGAAAACCCGTTTTTTCGCTCTAATAAAAAATGTGAGTGCCTAAAATAGGCGGTTTTGCGATTTGTCGATGGGCGGTTTTGCAAAAACATCGCCGATTTGTATATCCGTACATATGTACATATGTACGCTCTTAAAACGAATGCACGGGAAATTAAAATTTTTGTAACGTTGCTTGAGCGCTTTTCAGATTAATGTCTTTAACACCAAATTATTTGATTAACAAATTTTTGCGTAGAACGCTGAAACCGAATCGCAAACGCACTGCAGAGAGTTTCCTGCTGTCATACGACAACAATTGACTAAGGGCCGTTCAATATCCGGTTAACACAAACCGGAGGTAAAATGTCCATAATGACTTTGACGAAAGCTTAACTTATTTTATTTTATTTATTTTAAAAATCTTTTGTTGAAAAAACTTTTTATACACTATTGTTAACTAAAAGCATGTTAAATAAAAGCTTGTTTTTACAAAATATTTCTTTTTTACATTATATATTTTATTTTTATTTATATAATGAAAAGAGCTCTTATAAAGATTTTATTTTGTTGCTTTAAATAGCATTCTAATATATTTCTTGTATATGCGGCCACTCTGGTTTCACATTTAATCTCTACACTACTTCTTTTGGCAAATCATTGTAAACGAACAAACTTCTTTCATTGTTGCAACTGCCCAACTGATAATACATTGCTAGAAATTCGCACAGAACGTGATACTTTAATAATTCACGCAACACTGCGGTTGTGACTGCAACTCGAACAAGCCCATATACTAAATCGTGGTGTTTCTTTTAATACAACTGCGACTGGCTAAGTATTTTTTCACAGGTTATAGGCCCAGTTCACGCACAAAAGTGAAAACAATTTAAGAGGGCACATACATATATATATTGAGAAATTCAAGATGAATTGTGCAGCTTTTGAGAGCACGCTGATGTCACATCGGCTTGACGGCAGTAATTTTAGAACGTGGAAATTCCAAGTAAGTTCAATTCTTAAGGCAAAGGACTGAGAAGATGTTGTCAGCGGAAAATTTACGAAACCGGCTGAGACAGCGGTGGACGATCTGAAGAAGTGGATGCAAAAAGACGGTTTCGCAATGTCAGTATTATTTGCATCACTTGCAGCAGATCAAAGTAAACTGGTTTTGAGCTGCAAAACGTCGAAGGAAATTATGGATTTGTTGGAGGGCATACACAACAAGCGAAGCGATGTGAAAATCATGGGTTTGTATGAAGAATATTTTACAATGAAAATGAACGATGATGAGAAGGGGCGGAATATGTGTCAAGGGTTTGCAATTTGGCACATGAAATCGAATATCAGGGCGAAAAATTGTCGAGTAACCTCAAAATGTGCCGCATCATCAACGGGTTGTCATCAAAGTATAGTAATTTTCGCACAATATGGTTCAATATCAAAGATTGTCGAAGCATGGACACACTTTTGGCACAAGTGCAGTTAGAAGAAGATTCAATGAACGAGGTTGAGAGCGAGAATACAGCATCAGTCGAAACAGCGTTTAGTGCAAAACATGAGTGTTCCCGCCTCTCACGCATATTCGCAATACACATCCCCTCTCTCAGCTTTGTCAGTTAGTTAGTCTATGAGTTCAGTAATAAATGAACCAGCAAGCATTAAGCACGCGTCGTTTTATGGATCGATTATCGATAGCAATCGAACTCCAGTTGCGTTGCTAGTTGCCAAAACGATATTACAGATGTCAACTGGCAACTTTCAACTAACAACTGCAGTTGCTCCAAAGTGTGTATACAGGCGACTACATTTTAGTGGTGGCTGGGAATATTTTTGGAGCGTATTTAGGATCGAAAATTGGAAAATTGTGTCATACATTTTACTTTTTAATAATTAATTAATTTTAATAATTACTTTTACAGAATATGGTGAAAATAACAAAACAACTTGAAGTTTTCGTTCCCGTGGAGTACGCTCTTTTGGCGAAACAAAAGCGAACACTGATTGCAAATTTTTTCCTTTATCAACTGAAGTACCTCTTTTAAAACGACCCCGACACACCAAGTTTTCCAAATTAAAGTCATTGCTGTGGCACTTCCTTCTGCGAAAAATCGAAGAGATGCACAAGCTGTTATGAGCGGAGGTTTTGTAGTTGAACGAAGGGTTCATCTGTTTATTAACCAACAACAGCTTCTTTTGGAAGTCTTCAATATAATTTGAAAATGAACACATAACGGTAACAAAAGAAATACCTTGAGAGCATTACGTTTTGCTTCAGTACACGCGGTAGCTCTAGAGGATTTGTATTATCCTTTAAGGCCGCGTTCATGCACTTCTCTTCCTCTTAAACAAATAACTGTGATGAATTTAGCTTTATTGCTGTCTTTTCTTTAAAACTCTTTATTTTAATAATTTATTTTTAGTCGCGCAGCTTGTTTACAGCCGCTTGCTGGTTGTCGAACTGTCCAGTTTCGATTATCGATAAATCGAGAGCAACTGACGATAGTTGCCATTCGTAATACAAATTTTCTTTCCAGTTGCGTTGCCAGCTGGCAACCGAACCGTGGTTGTGTTGCTATCCGTAATCGGCCCATTAATTTACTCCGCTACTGCCGCAAGATGGTCCTTCAGACCGGATCTCGGTTATTAACGCATATAAAAAAATCGCTTAACAATATAAAATTAATTTAATCGCAAGTACTAAAGTGAATACGCAATTAACTAAATACAGACTACAAAAACAATAAAACTAGAAGTGCACCTGCATTCGCTGCCGTGAAAGTGTATGTGAATAAACTATTTATGTTCATTGAAACCTACAGCCAGTAAGGCAAAAGAGCACATCAGGGAAACGGTTATTTTAAGGTCATATTCATTTCTTTGGTACACCGTTTTGAAGTGCATTGAAATGTCTGTGAACAAAAGAGACTCGGCACGAAATGCAATTAAACGCTCTCTTGAACTCAGTAAAGCTGAAAGCGGAAAATACTCCAAACAGCAGCTGGAAGTATACATAGAGCTTTTACGTGAACAATGGGGCCGGTTCAGTATTGCTCAAGAAATTGTGGAAGAGTCTTGCGGAGCAAACGCCATAGAAGCAGAACAGTACGAAAGAGAACAGGGCGAACAATGGTATGCATCCGCAATGTCAAATTTCAAAGCAATGCTCGAAGCACAATCTCCTCTTAACACAACAACAGTAGGCGAGGTTTCACGCAGCACATCTGTCATTCCAAACATCAAGCTTCCAGCATTTAATTTACCTCATTTTGAAGGAGATCCGACAACATGGCTCACATTTTTCGACAGCTTCAATGCCATCGTACTAAAACACGAAACGCTGACTGGAAGTCAAAAATTGCACTATTTACGCTGCTGCTTGTCTAAAGAGCCGCTGCAACTAATCTCAAATTTCAAACTTCAAGATGCAAATTTCAGCGAAGCCTGGAATTTATTAACAACACGGTACAATATTCCGCGTGTTAATAAAGATCATCATTTCCGTGCTATTTTTTCGGTGCAAAAGGCAAACAGCGACACTCCCACTGTAATCAAAGGCGTATTAGACCCCATCATGCAAAATGTTCGTGCATCGAAGGCTTTGGCGCTGCCGGTTCAACATTGGGATGAATGGTTTATACACGTAATTGTGCATAGGCTAGCAAACGAAACAAGACGACAATGGGAACTTTCACTTGGAGAACAACAAGAGGTAGATCTTAATATTTTGCAGGAATTTCTCGAAACTCAATGTCGCTCGCTAGAGGCAGCGTTAACGCATACTGGGTTTACGAAACAGACTGCAGCAAGACCCAAAAACAAAATAAATGCATATCACGCCACGCAAGGGGGTCAGACGGATTCCAAACGGTGTTTGTATTGTTCTGGTGAGCATAGAATTTATCAATGCCCTCAATTTCGTGAAATCCCAGTAACCACGCGAAAGGACGTAATCCGAAATAAAAACGCTTGTACAAACTGTTTGAGCGAGATGCATAAAAGAGACAAGTGCCGAAGCGCATCAACGTGCAGAATATGCAGACATCGCCACCATACGCTACTTCATTATTCCGAAACCTACACTACTTCGATGGATACTGCGAATTCACAATCATCCAAAAATAGTGATAATGCAAACATCACCTTACTTGCAAGGCGTTCGTCGTACTCTGCCACTGCCGCACTAAGCGCACCAGAAGCAACCACTTCGGGCACACATTCTGACGCGACCTTTAGGCAAGCCGTTCTTCTCGCTACTGCCCAATTACGAGCATGTGACTTCAACGGAAAACAGCATGTTTTGCGCGCGCTTTTTGATTCAGGCTCACACTCTTCATTTATAACTGAAGCATGTGTTCAAAGATTACAATAAGCTAAAAGGTGAAGTTATTGTGTCCGGAATCGGATGCTCAAAGGGTAAGGTAAAGGGCGAAACATCATTGTTGTTGACGCCAATGGAGGTCACCGAAACATTCCCTCTATCTGCTCTCGTGTTGACAAAGCTTACAGAATCTTTGCCCGCGGCGAAAATACACTCTTCCAAATGGCCGTACATTGAAGGCCTAAAATTAGCTGATCCGCAGTATTACTTGCCAGCTCGCATAAACTTAATTATAGGATCTGATGAAATGTATTCTCTATTGGAAACAGAGGTTATAAAGGGCCCGCCTAATACTCCGATCGCGCAGAAGACAGTTTTTGGCTGGGTGCTGTTCGGCAAGTTAACTACTTTAGGTAAATCGAACAATACATCTCCTTGCTTATATTCAGATATCGACTTAACAAAGGCAGTGATAAAGGCGTGGACACTTGATGAATTACCGGAGACTCGTTACTTTACTACTGAAGAGACAAGATGTGAAAAGCTATTCGAAACAACTCACCGACGAAACACGCAAGGACGCTTTATCGTGCATTTGCCATTTAGGCAAAACATTAAATTAGGTGACTCATGGGCTATAGCGGTACAATCTTGGTCAAGAATGGAAAGAAGGCTTGAGCTAAATAACGAGCATCGAGAACAATATCATGCATTCTTGCACGATATGTTGGATCAGGGTCATATGGAGTCGGTAAGTAACGTGCCTTCGTCAAATTGGTATATTCCACATCACAGCGTTATCAAAGAGTCGAGCTGCACAACGAAAACTCGTATCGTCTTCAGCGCTTCGCAAAAAAACACAAACGGCCTGTCGCTTAATGATAATTTGATGATCGGGCCGCAACTTCTATTTTAAACCGCTTTCAAATTCACATGTACGCTTTAACCGCTGACATCAGCGGTATGTATCGTTAGGTAATGGCCGCTGAAGAAGACGCCGATTATCAACGAGTCATATGGCGCAGAAGCAAACATGAGCCCCTACAAGATTAAGGGTTACTTATGGTATTGCCTCTAGTTCTCATCTCGCAGTCAAAGCGCTGCAGCAGACAGCCAAAAAAGCCGCTACATTCTACCCCCTCGCATCTTCCGTCATCCTCCGAGATTTTTATATGGACGACTTGTTAACCGGTAGCTCATACGAAACAAGCCTCAATAGTCTGCGCAAAGAAATATCCCGAATACTTGGAAATGGTTGCTTTGAACTGCGGAAGTGGGCATCAAACTCGCCATTCGTCATCCGCAATATCCCACTCGATGCAAGAGAGCACAATATATCTCATTTGCTTGCTGACGATGATACAGTACGCGCTTTAGGACTAATGTGGAATTCCACGGATGACTACTTATACTTCGACATCAAATTGGGGTCCCCACCGAAAAATCTCACCAAAAGATCGCTTTTGTCAGATTCCTGTCGATTATTCGATCCTACAGGGAAGCTGGAACCTTGGTCCCCAAAACGTTATTCCAACGACTCTGGCAGCATGGATTAGACTGGGATGATGCCGTACCAGAAGACATCGCCGTTTGCTGGCTGAATCATCGCGAGAATTTAAAATTACTTTCTGGACTCTAAATCCAAAGATGGCTTGGAACCCGAATGGAAGGTTCAAAGACAGATCTGCACTGCTTCGCAGACGCTTCACAGCAGGCGTACGCTGGTGTAGTATACGCTCGGACACGACATGCTGACGGCTCAATAACTGTAGCTATGGTAATTGCAAAAACAAAGCTCTCACGTCTCCGTTCTATTTCTATAGCTAAGCTCGAGTTGTGCGCCGCCGTTGAAGTGTCAAAACTCACACATCACGTTCAACAATCGTTAGCTGGACTGGTACCCAAAATATATGGATGGACGGACTCCATGAACGCATTGGCCTGGTTACAAAGCCACCCCAGCCGCTGGTCTGTATTTGTAGCGAACCGAGTCGCCACAGCACAGTCGAATATAGCATCGGAAGATTGGTCCAATGTATGTACAACCGATAATCCAGCTGATTGCGCATCAAGAGGTATGCAACCTGCGCAAATTATCCAGCATAAATTATGGTGGAATGGGCCTTCCCGGTTGGCGCAGGATGATAAATACTGGCCTAACTCACCATCAATACCATCGAAAGAGCTGGAACTGCACCCAAAGCGAATCCTGATATATGCTCGCTAGGTTTTCGCCGTTTTTACGTTTGAAACGCATTACAGCTTATTGGTTGCGATATATACGCAATTTGCGGGAAAAGCAAAGGCAAGGAGGTCCGTTAACATACGCAGAGTTACGTGCCGCCGAAGAATACTGGATACGTCAGGTGCAAAGGCAAGCATTCAACGAAGGAATCTGGTGTTGCCCACACTCTAAACCCATCTCGCTTCGCAGCGCACTAATTCGGCTCAACGTATTCCTCGACGACAACAACATATTAAGGGCGGGTGGTAGGATTCGGCGCTCCGCTGTATCGCCAGACATCAAGTTTCCTATCGTCTTACCGTCAAAGTCCATCATCGTAATCATGATAATTAATGACCTTCACAAAAGCCTCTTGCGCGGTGGACCACAACTTATGCAGACTGTACTACAACGTCGGTTTTGGGTAATGGGCGCACGAGGATTGGTTCGAAAAATCTTTCATAATTGTACTACGTGTCGACGTCAAAGTGCTATTCGACAGCAACAGATGATGGCCGACATACCAAGCTTTAGGGTTAACTACGCAGGTCGACCTTTCTCTGTCACCGGCGTAGATATGGCTGGCCCATTTAGCGTAAAATTCGCCAAAGGCCGCGGGTCAAAGTCTACCAAGGGCTATACAGCTGTTTTTATTTGCATGGCGACTGGCGCTATGCATCTGGAATTAGCGAGTAACTTATCCTCAGAGACCTGTTATCAGTGTTGTTAAAAGATTTGTCTCACGTCGAGGTTATTGCCGTACATACGTATCTGACAATGGAACTAATTTTGTGGGTGCTGAGAAGGATCTACGGACAGTATTTCAACAGGCGATGGACGATCCGAAAATCCAGCAGCTTTTTGCGAACTCTAGCGTAGAATGACAGTTTAATCCCCCAAGCGGTCCTCATATGGGCGGTTTTTGGGAGTCCGCTGTTAAGCGTGTAAAGTTCCACCTTCGGCGAGCCCTCGAATCGACCTTGTTGACGTGCGAAGAGATTTGTACCCTGATCACCGAAGTAGAGGCTTGCGTCAACTCACGCCCTTTGTGCCCGCTCTCGAGTGCTTCGTCTGACCTGGAAACATTGACTCCTGGTCACTTTTTGATTGGCGAGCCCCTCAAAGCATTACCCGAACCTACAATGCTCGATTTTAAGGGTAATATAAATCAACGATGGCAGCTTATATCCGCCGTACGTAAACATTTTTGGCGTCGCTGGCAGCTAGAATACCTTTCAACACTGCAAACTAGAGCTAAATGGGTGCGTCCGAAGAAAAACATACGAGAAGGGGACTTGGTCGTGGTGAGGGACGAACGTATTCCTCCTGCGAATTGGAAGCTAGCTCGTGTCGTCAAATGCCATCCTGGACAAGATGGTTATACAAGAGTAGTAGATATCAAAACTGCCGAAGGCCTGTTGACTAGGCCCATCGTAAAGCTTGTACCTATTTTATCATATGATGAAAAATCTCAGTAGTATATACTCATATTTTATGCATCACATAAGTTTGCACACTTTATTTTTTTTACAATTTTGTAATTTAACAATGTACAAATTATTGAACTACTCATTTAAGGAGGCCGGTATGTTCGCGCCTCTCACGCATATTCGCAATACACTTCCACTCTCTTAGCTTTGTCATTTAGTTAGTCTATGAGCTCAGTAATAAATGAACCAGTAAGCATTAAGCACGCGTCGTTTTAATTTACTCCGCTACAGCCGCAACAATGAGAAAAAGAAAAAGAAACCACAAACTAACGGAAAACCAAAGTCAGCTTGTTTCTCTTGTGGTCAAGTTAGTCATTGGAGACGGGATTGCATAGAGAAAAATAAGCAATCGAAAGACAGATCAAAGAAAGAGTCGAAATCATATGCTTTTTCTGCTCTTGATGACATTTTGGCGGCAAAATATGATGACGTATGGATAGCTGATTCTGCTGCAACTAAGAGTGTAACTCATCGCAAGGACTGGTTCATTGAATACTCAACTACAACGGAACAACGGGGTGTTAAACTGGCAAATGATGAAGTTATCGACGTTCTTGGCACTAGAACAATTAAGGTCGAAGCATTTGTCAACGGTAGCACGGAGACTCGTCGACTAGAAAACGTACGGTATGCACCGAAATCAACAGTGAACTTGTTATCAATTGGCCAGTTGACACGAAAGGGGTTTCGTGTGAAATTTGAAGCAAGCAAATGCATTGTTCTAAAATCAGAAGATTGTAGCAGTCGGGGTGAAAGATAAGAACGACTTGGTGTGGATGTTATTTCGTCCAGCAATTAAAAATCGTGCTAATTCATGCTTCGTTTCAAAAGAGTGCAATCCTTCGGCGTCGTTACAACAGTGGCACAGAAGGTTGGGTCATATCAACGTAGCTCATATTAAATCGATGGTTAATAAGAATTTGGTAAACGGAATCGAAGTCACTAATGCAAATGATTTTTTTTGCGAAGAGTGCCAGTTTGGTAAGTCTCATCGGAGCTAACATCCGTTAACTGAGAGGCGAGACGTGTCGAAGGGTGAATGTTTTCTCATTAACTTGTGTGGAAAAGTGGAAACGATGGGAATCGGTGGCCAAAATTATTTTTTTCTGTTGAAAGATGAAGCTACAACATTACGAACGGTTTTTTTCTTGGGACACGAGTCCGAAAGCAATGCGCATCTGGTAGAATTTTTGCCATTCGTCGAAAATTCCAAAGAATGCAAAGTAAAACGTATTCGATGCGACAACGGAACCGAGTTCATTAACCAAGACGCAAGAAACACATTAGCGAAGAGAGGTATTATGATTGAACGCATTGCACCAAATATTCCCGAGCAGAAAGGTCGCATCGAACAATGTTATTAGCAAGCAATATGGATAAATCATTATGGCCAGAGGCAGTTCGAACAGCGGTTTTTATTTTGAATCGAACGACAAAGTCAAAAAGTCGGAAAACCACACCCTATGAGCAGTGGTTTGGTGAGAAACCGTTTCTTGGTCACTTAAAAGTGTTTGGTACCATTGCGTATGCTCACATTCCTAAAGTTTTTAGCAAGAAATGGGACGTGAAATCAAAGAAAGTATTTTTGGTGGGATACGAGCCTACAAGCAAGAACTTTCGACTGTATGATCCTGAGTCAAGAAAAGTATTTGTAAAAGCGTAGTTAGTCAACGACGTAGCGTAAATGTAGGTTGACGTACGTAGCAGCATACAAAATTTACTGTTGATAGAGAGAGAGAGAAGCAACGGCAACGTCACAGCCATGCGGTGGTGAGTTTTCGTTAACACGCGAATCCCATTAGGTAGATCGTTTCAGCGTCAACGTACGTCTATGTTACGTCGTTGACGGTTTGCGTTTTAAGTTGCGACGTTAAATTTCATGAGAATTTTATTCGAAGCGAATCGTTAATTATACCCGAAGATGAATCAACGACCGAGAAGACGGAAGAGGTAATAAAAGTTATATCACCAAAAACGATAAAAACAATTGTAGAAAGTTCAAGTGAAGACGAAGAATACCATGATGTCGGTGACGCAGCGGTTAGTCCGAAGAAAAAGGATTATGACCCAAAGCGATCGGGCTTGCGCCCGAATCCAAAGCCAACTGAATTCTACCAGGCGGATATGGCCTTGTCAGCTATTTCGATTGAATCGTTGCCTTTCAGGAGGCGAAATTTTCCAATGAATCGAAACAATGGATGAAAGCAGTGCGGGAAGAAATAGATTCACTGAAAGAAAACGATACATGGGATCTTGTCGATCGACCGGGAAAATGCAAGGTGATAGGTAATAAGTGGGTGTTTAAATTGAAGATGTCTCCAAATGAGGAACCAAAGTACAAAGCTCGGCTTGTAGCCAAGGGTTATTCCCAATCTGCCGGCGTTGACTACAAGGACACGTTTTCTCCTGTCGGCCGTTATGAAACGGTTCGATGCATTTAAGCTATTACAGCAGTTGAAGACATGGAGATCGCACAATTTGATGTAAAAACAGCATTCTTAAATGGTGACCTGAAAGAAACTATTTACATGCAAGTACCGGATGGTCTCGAACAAGCATCGAGAGCCTGGAACTCAAAGTTTGCGGATTTTATTCAACGCTGTGGTTTGGAACAATCGAAGGCGGACACGTATTTTTTCTATGGATGCATCAGTTGAGAAAAGGTAATCGTTTTGCTGTGTGTTGATGGCTTAATTCTTTCCCACAGAAATTGCGCTATCGATGCATTGGTAAAGAAGCTAATAAATGAGTTTAAAATCACATTGAGAAACGGCGAATATTACGTTGGCATTGAAATCAAACGCGATCGATTAGCTAAAACAATAACTATCACGCAGGCATCGCATATTAACAAAATTGTCCAGAAATTCCGCATGAACGAATCGAAAATCGTTTCAACACCATTCGATGCTGGCACAATATTGACTAAGTCGAAACAAGAAGGTAACTCAAATTTTCCATATCGGCAGGCATGTGGATCGTTGACATACGCTGCAACAGTCGCGCGGCCGGATATTTCATATGCAGTGGGAGGTCAGTAAGTTTTTGGAAGCCCCTAATAGCACACACATTTGTGCCATCAAACGAGTTTTTCGTTATTTGAATCACACGAAATCACTGGTCATCACATATGTGAACTCGAACGAAGTGTCTTTGGTCGGTTACACGGATGCCGACTACGCAAGAGATTTGGACACCCGACGATCAACAACAGGGCATGCATTCAAGATAGGCAACGGTGTGATTACACGGAGAAGCCAAAGACAAAGTACGGTCGCACAGTCATCAACGGAACAGCTTCCGTTTATGGCCATTACTGAAGGTGCGAAAGAAGCTGTTCGGTTGCGACAGTTACTAAAGGATATTGGCCTACAACTTTGCACATTAACAATTTGAGTGCAATAAAGTTGGTGCAAAACCCAGAACTGCATCATCCACGTCAGGCTATTTTTCGTACGGGACCTGTACCAAAGTGGAAAAATACACTTGGAGCATGTCGGAAGCCGAGATCAATTGGCAGATGTCTTCACCAAACCCTTGACAAGGCAACTCTAAGAATCAAACGTAACCCGACTTGGCATGATGTGATGTAAGAGAATAAGTAAACTTTGAATTTGAAATTAATTTGTCATCTATCTATCTATGCATACGCTTTCTATTTTTGTAAATGTAAAAATGTTTGGAATGAGTGGGAGTGTTAATATTAGCATTCTAAAATATTTCTTGTATATGCGGCCACTCTGGTTTGACATTTAATCTCTGCACTACTGCTTTTGGCAAATCAGTGTAAACGAACCAACTGCTTTCTTTCTTATTCTTTATTATTGCAATTGTCATACTAAAAACATGTAAATTATAATCATTGAATTCTATATAGATATATACTAAACCGTGGCGTTTCTTTTAATACATCTGCGACTGCATAGGTATTTTTTCACATAAAGTCTATCTTAAACTGAAGCATTTTCATCTAAGTTAAGGGCCCGTTGTTCAATGTATAGCTATCATCAGTACATCATTATCGAAGATTTTGGCATCATGCATATAATATGTGATCGATAGAGCATATTCATGCCTATTACGGTATCCGACGAATGCCATCCGCGGGGAATGCGAATCGAATTGAGAAGATCTGGTATTCTCATAACCGATCGGCAATGGAGTTCGCGAATAAAAATTTGTTGATAAAGCAGTTCGCGGATTCACTGTATTCCCATAATCGTAATCGAAACGCAATAAGTGTCTTTTGCTCTAAGTGTCATTCGCTGAATAATTGTTGCGGATTTAATAAAAAAAATTGAAAATATCACGCAATAAGATGGAGTTCAATAAAAGGTGACTTATTTTTAACATTTTTTAGTAAATTATATGTGCTTATTATGTTTTCTAACAGAAGTCGTACCACAAACCGAGAACAATTCGCTTTAATGGCTGAACGGATGAAGCTCAACGGGGGCATTGCCAAAAGTATGTCCAATGAGCCACCAGAGGTAGTATCCGTGTTCTGGACATCACTTAGCACGGACTTAAATGCGTTAGGACCTCCAACAAAGTCCCTTGCCGAGTGGAAAAAAGTAAGAAAGTTGATTATTTATAAACCAATTTTATTAAACTTGAACTATTTTCAGGTATGGTCAGATTTTAAATCCTCCATAAAGAAAAAATTGTCTAACAACCGAATACAAATGCGAGCAACAGGTGGAGGTCCAAATAGGGAGGTACAATTGACTGCTTTGGAAGAGGAAGTTGCGCAGCTGGTGAATATTTATGACGCCGTTGCGGGAGTCTCCGGCAGGCACTGTGGTACGCCACAAGGCCCATCTCGTGGTAGCCACACAGACAGCGCAGCTTCCGAGCCATCTACCAGTGGTGCAGTAAACAGGGAAGAAGCTGATAATATGGAAAATGCTGAAAATTCAAATGGAAACAGTTCTTCACCTACGTCTCCGCAACCTCAACAGAGAGTGCCACAAAGGAGAACCCAATTGACGCTCCTTAAAACTCAGTTGGATATGCAAAAAAAATATTACGACAACGTCGTATGTAATTTAAAAAGTCAAAAAAGAAAAATGGAAGATGTAGCAAATAATTTAAAAAAAAATGCAAAAAACAATGAGCAGTCTCAACAACAACGTTGAGGGTATGCGCTCCATACTAGGGAACTTAGTTGCCGAGACAAAAAGACATAATTTGGTAACGGAACAATTATTGCGGCACAAGACCAAAGTTAAGGAGCAACTTTTAGAATTGGAGATACAGGGAGTGAAAAATGCGCTAAAGAAGTAGTAGATATAGTTTAAGTTTAGCTATGAAGGCAGCAATACATATCTAGTTTAGCTTTAGCCATGAAGGCAGCAATACATATTTAGTTTAGCTTTAGCCATGAAGGCAGCAATTTTATTTATAATAAAATAAAACTTATGACAAAAAACTTTGGAGCATTTGATTACGTAGTTGAACTGCTTCAGTATAATACCTCTCCGGTCGCTCGATTTCTTGGAAATCGGTGTCTGAATCTTCCTCATTAGTTACGTGATCAAGATACTCATCATGGATATTGTAGTGAATGCGTAAATTGTGTAGTGCCGCAGCTACATTGATTATTTTCACAGCCTTTTCAGGAGAATAATGAAGTTGGCGCGCAGACAGAAGACATCTACACCAGTTTTTCCAAACACCAATAGTTCTCTCTATAATGTTTCGCCCAGAACTATGCCATTTGTTAAAGCGACTTGAAGGAGTATTAGGTGCAGGGTTCTGAAAAGGAGTTATAAGCCAGGGTGCGAGACCGTACCCTGCGTCACCTAAGAATTAAATAAAAAATTATTATATGTAAAGAATATGAAGTTGAATAGTAAATTATATAATTTATAGTTATACCTAATAGTCGCAGATTTCGATTACCACCTTCATATTGTGCTTGGAAGTATTGTGATACGTCGCTGTTAGACCAAACAAATGAATCGTGAGCTGACCCTGAGTATTTCGCGTTAACGTACCTTATGCGCTGTTTATGATCACATATCTAAACCATGAAAAAAAAAATATATAAAACTATTGCAAAAAAAATGTACAAACTTACAACAAGCACATTGAGACTATAGAAGCCTTTTCTATTATAAAAAAGGTGAGAGTTTGAGCCTGTAGGTTTTGCTATCCTTATGTGCGTACCATCAATGCACATTACAATCCCGGGAATTTACGATTTGTTGTAAAAGTAACTCCGAGACTCCATTTGCTCCTCGTCATTCATTTTTAAATTCAACAACTTATCACACAACTCGTTTTCCAGAATATCAATAACCTCTGAAAATATCTTAGAAACTGTTGGTTGAGCCATACCAAGCATGTAGTCTTTGCCAACAGCATTTTGGTAGCTTCCTTCTGCTAAGATTCGCAGACATAAAGATAGCTTTTGTTGCCGACTAATTGCTGTGGATTTTATCACGGGAGGAATTTTACCGCAAATTATGCTTGAAATATGTTTATATGCATTTTTATTTACTCGAAATTGTTTAATAAACCTGTTGGAGACAAAAGTGTATATTCGCATGTGTGATCAAACTTTTATACTTATTTTGCTTACTCTATGTCTGTCAGTTTAAAAATGTTAGGTGCTCTATCCCTCACGGACCTTCTTACACTTGCGGAACTACTTTCATCTTCATCATTGTTAAAATAAAAAGCAATCGAATCCATTTTAACACAAATTTAATTTTTTCCAAACACAAATTAATTAAAAATGACAATTCGAGAAATGTCAAAAAGCGTTTGACACAATCCGCTGCGTGAGTCGATAAAGCAGCCATCCGACGTTTATGGGAATACCGCAAACTTCAACATGCGAGGGGAATGCGAATCGAATGCCATTCGCGGGAGTGGCATTCGTCGGATACCGTAATAGTCATGATTATATTTAACCGGAGGTAGAAGTTCCGATTTGTGTTAATCAGACATTGAACAACGGGCCCTAAGGGCCAATTTCAAATGAATATTTAACGGCACTTAAGTTTAATTGTGGATTGCTGTTTAAATTCCATTTAGCTTTCGTTGGGGTTCAGTTCAACTTTATCTAAATATGCCAATTAAAAGGCAGTACTTCTGCTTGTTCCTTGAAATTGTTGTTGCATTTGCTTGTTTGTTTACATTTTGTGCTGAACAGCTGATTGGTTTTTGGTGGGGTTGGTTAAACAACCTACCAATAAATCTTGGTTGTTTGCAGGGTGGGAAAAAACTCGGAGTTCGAGCGAGCGAGCGAGCAAACTCCTACTCAATGCCTCGCAGACAACGAGGCCGCAGCTCGTACTCGTAGCAGCAATGAGGCGAGGCACGAGAAGTTTGGCTCGCTCGCCAAACGAGCGAGCGCTGCTTGTTTGCTCGCGCTCCTATTAAACGAGCGAGGCTGTTGTGTGTTGCCTCGCTCGCAGTGCGAGGCGAGTAGCTGTCTGCATGCTCACTCTGCTAGGAAAGACGAGTGAGCGACGAGCGAGCGCTTCGAGTGTACTATACAACACATGCATTTTTGTGCATAAAAATGTGGGAATGTATGTCAATAGATTATGTACGAAAGTATGTTAATAATTGTAAGGTATTATAATAGGGCAGCATTTAAAACAACAAATAAAATTTATTACATACATAAACATAGATTATGGAATGAATTTTTTAGAGTTATATTCATACATGTGTACACACATAACATGCATATTTATATATGTTTGTATGTACGTATTTATGTATATATGCATTTATGTATGCATGTACATATGCATGTATTTTGTCTTTACAGAGAAAAGTAAGTCACGAAGATATTATAATCGTTTGTGCCGCAGAAACAAAAAACAAGTAAGCACTTGTTAACACCCCCAAAATAGTTTGCTACTTGTAGCAGTTATACTGTATACCTGAATGAAATATAGTCCTTGGTGAAAAAATTAATTTGTGGCCTGTTGTTCAAGGACATATGTACATACATATGTATGCATTATTTTTTTTTTTTTTTAACGGACGTTGGGATAGGGAAACTATCCATCAAGTGGCCCGTGCGAAACTCTCCAAAAGCCACCTCCCCGGAACCACTCGCGTATTACATCGGGGTGAGGCCGTGGCATAAACATGCCCCACGTCATACCGCCCTTTCCATAATCCCCCATCCACTAATGTGATTAGGGGTTCAGGAGCGTTTTGGTGTTCACAGGGTTTACCTGCAAAGAAATGCAAAAAATAAGATAAAAGAAGATATTTTGAACACAAGTAACTTGAACTATTTCCTCTTTCTAAGCGGCGGCGTTGCTCTCTGATCCTTAGCTTTGCCATTATTTCTCTGCTTATATTCTTTAATGTGCCCCATACTTTTTTATCATTCAACATGTGTTCAACGATATTTTCCGTACTCAGGCCATCTTGAGTCAACGTATTTAATTTCTCTCTTTCTGATGAAAACGAAGGACACTCGAAAAGTACATGTTCAGCGGTTTCCGGGACATTTTCACATGTATTACATGCCGTCGAGTCATCGTGACCATAATAGTGCAGGTACTGTCGAAAGCAACCCATGGCCACTAAGCAATTGAGTCATATAAAAATCAACTTCGCCATGCGATCTGTATAGCCAAGCTTCGATGCTCGAATGAGTCGGAAAGTCCAGCGCCCAGAGGAAGACGAGGCCCAGCGTTGCTACCATAGTGATGGGCTTATTTGGCGCTCGGCCGCGATCTCGGATTTTGAGAGGGCTCTGCCTTTTGTTCGGGCCGTCATATAGGTACGCCGGATTTCGTTAGCCAACAAATCGGCAGGCATAATACCAGCTATGACGCAGGCTGCATCATGCGAAACTGTCCGGAAAGCGCTGCAAACGCGCAGGGCACTAAGACGGAAAACAGAGTTTACAAGCTTAGCATAGGACTTTTGCTGCAGTGCATGACCCCAGACGGGGCCGCGTACATTATAACTGATTCAGTAACTTTTGTTAGCAGTTTTCTGCGGTTTTGACCTGGACCGCCTACATTTGCCATCAGTCTAGCTAACGCGCTTTGAACTTTTGCCGCTTTTGTACTTACCATTTCAATGTGAACTTTGTAAGATAACCTTGCATCAATCATTACGCCTAGATACCTCACTGCTGGTAATGTATCAAAGACATACCCGTTTATATTCAAGATTGCGGTCTCTTTTTCTTTCTACTTGTTATGAGTACACCTTCTGTTTTCTCGATTGCTAAGTTCAGCTCCCTCGCTGTAAGCCAGTCGATGACTATTTTGTAAGCATTTGTTGTGGCCATTTGCACCCTATTTATGTCTTTAGCCACAACCACCAAAGCGATGTCATCGGCATAGCCAATTATTTTAACTCCTTTTGGAATGGGTAGACGCAATACGCCATCGTAGGCTATGATCCACAAAAGTGGGCCAAGGACGGAACCTTGGGGAACTCCTCTGGAGACTCTATAGCTTACTTTGCCTCTTTCCGTGTTGTAGGACAAAACTCTATTAGGTAGATAACTGTTAATTATATTAATTAAATACTGTGGTGTATGAATAATTTGAAACGTATTTATAACGTGCGACCAGCTCAAAGAGTTAAAAGCATTTTTTACATCTAGGGTGACTACAGCACAATATTCCTTGGACCCATTTTTCCAACGCTTACCCTTAATAGATTCTTCAGCAATGTCGGTAACGCTGCGTATAGCATCGACAGTTGACCTACCCTTTCGAAACCCGAATTGAGTGTCTGACAGACATTCTTTGGTATCGATATGCTGCCACAAGCGATTGCAAACGATGCGTTCGAGTAACTTACCTAAGGAATCAATCATACATAGGGGCCTATAAGAACTAGGTTCACCTTGTGGTTTATTGGGCTTTGGAAGTAAGACTAATCTTTGCTTCTTCCATTTATTCGGGAATACTCCGAGAGTCGTCAACTGCAGTTTTAATAGCAATGTTGGGAATACCATCAGGACCTGGAGATTTATTGTTCTTTAGCCGTTTGGCCGCGCATTTGATTTCATCAGGCTCAAGTGGCGGATAGTAAACATTTGTATGTGTTCCACTTGGTACCGGCCCTGGGCTAGTTTCCGCTTTCGGGAACAGTGTTTCTACTATTTTTTTAAGTAGTACCGGGCAAGTAGGTGTCCGCATTTGGCTACTGTTGAATTTTTTCATAACGACTTTGTAGGCACCGCCCCACGGGTATTCATCAATTTCGTTACACAAGTCTTTAAAACACGCTTTCTTGCTATTTTTAATTGCAATCTTTAACCGTCTCCGTAAAGATTTAAAATGGTCTCTTTGGGCGTCCGTTCTTATTCGCTGACATTTTCTTCTGGCTTTATTGCATTCAGATCGAAGCTCAGCTATTTCCGGTGTCCACCAGTAAACCCGCTTTCTTGTAATTTTGTTGCCCTTTTTGCTCATTGACGCATCGCATGCCCTGATAACAGCTTTTGAGAGCTCTTCTGAAAGAGCTTCCGCATTATCTGGTGTTTCACTAACGTCCCTGATACCATCCAGTACTAGTTTAAACATATTTGGGTCGAACGATTCTTTATACCATCCTTTACCATACTTTTTGAAACATCTGCTAGAAGGGTTTCTTACATCACAGATTTCAATTAAAATCGCTAAATGATCACGCTGGGTATAAATGTCACTAATCTTCCAAGTGGTTTTTGGTGCCAGTGATTGAGTGCAAAATGCAATGTGAACGACGGAGCCCCTGCCATTTTTCTCAAAAGTGTTTTTGTTACCTGTATTCAGTAAGAACAAGTCGAGTGGTGCAAATGCCTTTAATAGGGCATGCCCTCGTCGGTTTGTTCTAACGCTTCCCCATTCAACGGCCCATGCATTAAAGTCACCCGCTATAAGCTTTGGAGAATATAACATGGCGTCTTCAACTAGTCTATCTAGAAAAGATTCAAATTCTTGATAACTCAGGCTCGGTGGTGCATAGCAGCTATAGATATATATCCCGCCGATCTTACCTCTGACAAAATACTCCTGACTATAAGGTTTCTCAGCAAGACACTGCTCCCCATTGACCCATATAGCAGATGTTTCTTTTTTATGTATGCATGTATATATGGATATGTAGACATGGGAAAATTTGCGTAGACAAAGAATAGATACCGGTTCGCATACAACTTTGGCGTTGCGTTGGCGTCGAACTTCAAAGCCGTCCACATATCCAAAATTTGGCAACACTAAGGCCAACACAAAGTAGAAAGATCGCCGCGTCGGTCGCCAGCTGTTGCAAATAAATAAAATTAAATTAAATCTTTTTTCCTTTTAATCAAATGAAGGCAAGAAATATAATTTTTCATGCAATTTGATATGAAATATTAATTTATCTCTCGTTAATATGTTAATTTAGTGGCCAAAGTAGTCTCTGCCAAGCTTCATTGTAGAACGCATACTTTTAACTTGCGTTCTGTCAAACCAACGGCAACTACAAAGTCAACGCGAAAGTTCTATGTGGACCAGCCTTAATTATCAATTGGTAGTTTGTATTATCCTATATACATACATATGTATGGGGGCTAAACCATGAATATTCATTTGAAAATGCTGATGTCCTACTCATATATGAAATGAAAGACAAAATAATGATTTTTGTAAATATTATATTCTCATTTATACATATGTAACATAGTTACTTAGTCAAATTACTTAGTAATTACTTGTATGTAAGAATACAAAGACAAATTATTTATCAGAAGCATTGCAAGCTCTCAAAAAAGCAAAATCGCTACACCGAAAAAAGTATTTGAAAAACCGCATAAATTCAAATCCGCATAAAAAAGAACCGCATAAAAAGAGACCTAAGTATATAAGTTGAAATTTTATAAGAAATTATTGAACATTAAAAACATTATACCTACATAGATATGTATGCACATATGTGCCTACGTAGTAGATAAAACTGGTCAAAATTGCACGAATCTATTCTTCTGTGCATGAGAATACATACATAAATATATACATACTAGCTGTACCCTGCCACGCTTTGCTGTGGCATATTCCTATTACATAGATGATAAATGATTAACGAAACAAAGCATATAAGTTCGATTTTGTAATATATAAGTACTTGTGTGCACACAATATTTGTCGTTTTGCCATTCTTTGCATAGATATCAAGGATATCTGGTTTGCCGACACGGGAACATGCAACATCTGAGAAGCAATCCGCATCTAAATCTAAACCACACTTTCCAAAGGTTGACCTTGGGCATTATTGATTGCGATTCCGAATGCCAATCGCATTGGGAATTGCAATCTTTTAAATTGAAAGTGCGTATCGGTCGGAATCATGGGAATTCTTCACCTTTGCCACAATGTAGTCTATTTCAGGCAAGCATTTATCTCGCCCGCTAGTGTTAATCGAGAAATTACAGGCAATGTTTGCATTGAATCTCCTGAGAGCAACATCAATGCATTCCCGTGGTTAAACGTTTCCATGCAAATCTCGCGACAATCGATCAAAAACCTCAAGCAATTTTTTGTGGGCAATTGTACACTTATCCCAAACAATGAGTCTAAATTTTCGTAACACTTTTTCCATACAGGATCTTCTGGAAATATAGCACGTATGATTGCCGAATTAGCAATTCTTTCACCTAATAACAATGTCGCAGAAATTCCAGGCGGAGCCCAAGCTAAGGTTATGTAATTTTTTGAACGAACCGTCCCCGAATCAATCTGATAAGGAATGTTTTCCTAGTTCCTCCAGGCGTATCCAAGAATAAGGTCCCCAGATATCATTTTCTTCTTCTTATTTGACGCTGGAACCGCCTAAGCTATTAGGCCGAGCTCGACAAAGAACGTCAGTCGTTTATCTCTGTGGTAACTGACGCCAATAGGAAATGCCACGTGAAGCCAAATCCTTCTCCAGTTGGTCTCTCCATTGCAATGGGGGCCAACTCTTTGTCTGGTACGACCAGCGGATTACGAGATGAATACTTTCAGACCTGGAACGTCGGATCCCATTCGAATGGCATGTCCAAGCCAACGGTGCCGCTGTATTTTCATTCGCTGCACTATGTCTATATCGTTGTAAAGCTCATACAACTCATCGTTCCATCGTCTGCGATACTCCCCGTCTCCAAGGCGGAGAGACCTGTAAATCTTTCGTAAGATCTTTCTTTCGAATACTCCATTGTCATTGTCTAAGCTTCTGCGCCATAAACCCGCTCAGGAATGATGAGTGACTTATAGAGTGTGGTTTTTGTACGTCAAGAGAGAACTTTACTCCCGAATTGCCTACTCAGTCCAAAGTTGCACTTTTTGGCTAGAGTAGTTCTGAGTTGGATTTATATGCTGACATTATTATCGGTGTTAATGCTGGTTCCCAAGTAAACGAAACTCTTAACTTTCTCGAAATTACAACTGGCAACAGTGACGTGGGTGCCAAGGTGCGAATGCCCTGACTGTTTATTTGATGTTGTTATCGTTCGTTATCCAACTTGGAAAAGGCAGAACAGACTTCGAGGTTTTTGTTACCGATGATGTCGATGTCATCGGCACACGCCAGAAATTACACGCAGCTCTTATTATGTTAACACTTGCATCAGGCGATCGTAAATGCCCTTCTGAATTCGCTTTAATTTGGGAATGTTTGTTATAACAGGAGTTCGCAATAGTAATAATAATAATAATAATCATAATAATATTATCTATTGTTATTCAAAATTTCTTTACTCGCAATATACTTAGCAGGCTTTGGCGACCGAACGAAATTTACTTGTTTTATAATGTAAAGGAATGGTGGCAACAATTTTAAGTTTTCATTATTTAATTTCATGGGATATTTTTATGTTTTCGTTACGCTTTATATAATTTTTTCATTTATATAAGCAGCTCTTTATTACTTTTTTCATTGTCTGGAGGGGCCAGGAAGCCGGGTGTTAGCTATGCTAGCGCCACTAAGCGCATTAGACTGCCAGTTCTGCCGAAGGCTTTCCCTGAGAGTACACTCACTCGTGAGGATCAGGGAAAGATTGAGGACGCCATTGTGGAGGAGATGGGTAAGGGTTGGAGGTCAATACTCCAATTCGACGGCATCTTCTTTCGTCCAGGCCTTATACTGGTCGACTGTTTGGATGCAGAATCAGCCGAATGGTTGCGCGAAATTGTCCCAAAACTGCCTGACTGTGATGGTGCGGAACTGACTACGTGCGATGGGGACAACATACCCAGGGTGCACGTAATCACTACGTACCTACCAAAAGCTGCAGGAGTGGACACGCAGAAACTGCTGAACCTCATTATAGCACAAAATGAGGGAATGCATACCGACCTATGGAAGGTTTATAGGAGCAATGATGAGAAGACAGGCAAACTGCTAACGATCGGGATTGACGACCGGTCGTTGGACGCTATCAAAAAGAAAAACTGCATCCTACGATACAGGTTTGGTAGTGTTCCAGTGCATGTTGCCAAGGGCAGGGAACCGAAGGCGAAGATAGTCAAGCCAGGTACTCCACCGGGTGGTTCGGAATTACCGAAGGAGGTGGCTGAGATGGTAGCCGTGGAAGCAGCTAGGAACGCGGTAGTAGAGGAAGTCAGTCTTTTACCTCATGAGATGGAGGGTATAGACGACTTCGACCTCGGGCTACTGACCATTTGTGCTGATGACGACTCGGAGAGAGCCACCTTGTCAGAGTTTGACGAAACTCTGACAACGGACGAAGACGATGAACGCCAATAACTGCGACGATGACCAGCACTAAGGTTGCACAAATAAATCTACACCATGCGAGGGCCGCGTCTGCGGTTATCGCTAGGGCAACCCTCAGGTCTACACTGGGAATAGTGCTGGTACAAGAACCCTGGGTCGTCAGGGGCCAAATAAGAGGTTTGGCAGTAGAAAACAGGCAGGTAATTTGGGATACTCGGTGTACGAATCTTAGGGCGTGCTTGTTAATAACTAATAGCTTGAAACATATATGTCTTTCAGATTTCCTGTCGAGGGTTCTAGTAGCGGTCCAAGTCCCAGACAACATCGACGAGACCATCCGGGACATCGTAGCTGCATCGGGCTACTTCCCAGGAGATGACACGCACGGCCTACCAGAGCTTGTCACTAAACTGGTGAAGTACTGCGAGGCTAGGAAGCTATCCCTGATACTCGGGTGTGATGCAAATGCGCATAGAAGGCATGGGGGAGCAGTGACACCAACCAAAGGGGTGAGTACCTTCTTGAATTTATCCTTAGAAATAAATTAGAAATCTTTAATGTTGGGAACATACCAACATTTGCGACCCGCGCAAGGGAAAAGGTCCTTGATATTACCATAGGGAATACTCAAACGAAAACGCTAGTGAAAGAGTGGACAGTATCCAATGAACCCTCCATGTCAGATCATAGAATAATAAGGTTTGACATTGAAGCAACCCCTCCTATACATAGAGTTTTAAGAAATCCCAGGAAGACAGACTGGGAGAAGTTCAAAGACAACCTGAGGTTGAATGTAGCACAACCTGGGCTAGGTCGGAAGATCAGGAACGAAAAAGAACTAGAATTCGTTACAAAGCGCTTCAATGAACTACTCATTGACGCATATGAAGACAGTTGTCCTATAAGTAAGGTACGTTCCTCCAGGGATGTACCCTGGTGGAACAACTTAAGTAAACTCATAACCAAAGTCCGGAAACTGTTCAATCGAGCAAAACGAACCGGGGAGTGGTCAGAATACAGAAACACCTTAACTCTGTACAACAAAGAAATAAGGGAATCTAAGCGTTTAAGCTTTAGGAACTTCTGTGAAAGCATAGAAGATACTACGGAGGCAACAAGACTCTATAGACTCTATATAAGGTAATGGCAAAAACGAACTGTATTTCGTCCGCAAATCTACGGAAGAGTGATGGGAGTTTCACTGGGAGCGAGGAGGAGAAGATCAAACTTCTCATAGATACTCACTTCCCAGGATCTACATCTTATTCCGAAACAGATCGGACTGAGCAGTGCAGTAAAATAAGCAGAGGAAACTGGTTAGTGGCTAAGGAAATATGCTCCAAGCCCCGGCTCAGGTGGGCGGTAAATACCTTCAAACCACTGAAGTCACCGGGAGCGGATGGAATTTTCCCTGGCATGCTACAGCAGGGCTTAGAATGCGTGATTGGACCGCTATTAAAAATAATTAGAAGCAGCATAGCATGGGGTTATATACCAGATGCGTGGAGAAGAGCGAAGGTTGTTTTCATCCCGAAGGTTGGAAAGAAGGACCCACTTCATCCAAAATCCTTCAGGCCGATCTGCCTGACCTCATTTGTACTAAAAGCTTTAGAAACGGTAGTAGATAACTATGTAAGGACTACGGTCTTATTGAACTATCCGCTGAATTCGCGCCAGCATGCATATTTGGCGGGCCGCTCTACTGAAACCGCGCTGACATGCGCACTTCAAGATAGCTTAGAAAATAAGGAGACTGCTATATGCGCTTTTCTGGACATCGAGGGGGCGTTTGACAACACCTCACATGCTGCAATAAACAGTGCTTTGATAAGCAGGGGGTAAACAATACCCTCGTAGCCTGGATTAATTGCATGCTCCGCACCAGAAGGGTAGAAATACAAACCTGTACGAATAATACAGTTGTTGCCGGAACAACAAGGGGCTGTCCACAGGGTGGAGTGTTATCTCCACTACTATGGAATATAGTCGTCGACGGACTGCTCCAAGAGCTAACAGATACTGGACTAACCTGCCAGGGGTACGCCGACGACATTGTAATATTATGCAGGGGGAAATTCGAAAACACCCTGTGGCGAAAAGAGCTTTACTACGGATGACTGGTACCAATATCGGGGCAGCAGGGTGTCTTGGTCGTGGGAGGTTAGATATTCTTACGAAAAAAGTTCCCTGAAATTGCAATACCGAGGGATACCATGCATCCGAGGCTCAGCTTTACAAAGAGGTTTAAGACTGAACTGAGTAATAAGAAGAGCTGGGCAGGCATATCCGAGACATATCGGATAAACCAAAACATGATTACCTGGTACACTGATGGCTCATTGATCGACAACTCAACTAGTTGACCGAGGATAAGATACTCGGAACCCATGGGGAAACATATGTCTATTTTCCAGGCTGAAACATACGTCATAGAAAGATGCGCGGACTTTATTATCAAGCGAAACTACCGGAATCAGAACATCGCGATCTTGACTGACATCCGAGCGGCTATCAAGGCCCTCAGATCTCACCAGGTAATATCTCAACTGGTGATGGAGTGCCTCGACAAGCTGAATACTCTTGGTCTGACCAATCGGGTTTGGGTTCTCTGGATTCCGGGACATATTGGTATTAAAGGAAACGAATCAACCCCTTTCACCGGTCCAAAACCTTTCTGCGGCCTGGAAAAGGGGCACTCTCTAAACTAGTTCGGCTAGAGGAAGAAGCTCAGAGGAATCACTACTGGGATAATCTACCAGGTCTAGAGCAGTCCAAAGCACTTTTAGGAACATATAACCTAAAACGCTTCAAGGAATGTATGAGCTTATCAAAGAATAACTTAAGAATTGTTACAGGAATCCTGACAGGACACTGCAGGCTGAACTATCACCTGACTAAATTGGGAGTTTACTCGCATGAGCGATGCAGATTTTGCAGGATGGAAAACGAGACTGCACAGCACATCTTAGAAGAATGTCCTGCACTGATGCATAAACGCAAAAGGCACCTGGGTGAACATCTGACAACCAAAGGCGAAGTGAAATCCGTAGACTTAGGTTCTATACTAAAGTTTCTCTCGGATACTGTATTAATAGACACACTATAATCCATGAAGGGGGTACAATAGATCTTAAGGTCGCAGTGCTCTATCCCAAACAATAATAATAATAATAAACTGTCTGGATTTGGATAAGAGAAAACATTAAAAAAAAATTCTCTGATAAAGCTTTCCCAATCACTTTCCGTTTCGAATCAGTTATGTAATAGTTCATTTAATTTCAATATTTTCAAAAATATTTCCAGCAGTTATCTTTCTTAAATCTCTTTTATTAAATATCTATATTGTAATATATATTCTTTTATCAATTAAATTGCGCTAAATTTTTTAACAGATGGCAACCCTCCTTCAAAATATTTTCGCCTGTGAGCCTTCTTTAAACTCTTTAGTTTGATACCCACATTGCAATATTTCATTTACTTTATCAATTTGTCTGAGTTAAAATTTTCAAATAGGTGGCAACCCTCGTCAAAAATATTTCCAGCAGTTATCTTTCTTAAACCTCATTATTTGATACCCATATTGTAATTAATTATTTATTTTATCAATATAATTAGGTTTAATAATTTTCAAATAGGTGTCAGCCCTCCAATTTTTTGCGATATCATTGGTTCTGATTTTATACCGAACAATAAAAAAAAAATATTCAAATCGGTTCAGCCGTTCTCGAGTTTTGACGACCGTGACATACAAACACAACATTTTTATTAATATAGATATGTGTATATACATATGTATAAAATTCTTAGTTGCTGCAATTTTTATTCCATACATTTTTGCCGACCAAACAACGCATTTGCCTGTCTAATCTGCTTGCCTCATTTGCCTCGCTCGTTTACTCGCCTCGCTCGTCTGCTGCCGCAAATGAGTACCTCGCTCGCAACGACGCCCTCGCGAGGGCAGAGCTAATGAGGCCCTCGTTTGCTTGCCGCTCTACTCTTGCGCTCGTTTGCTTACTAGCTCGCTGGCTGCTCAGCGCGGGCGCGTACTTAACGAGTGCTCGTTTGCAAACAGCCTCGCTTGTTGCTCGTGAGTTGTGCTAGCTCAGAGCAAACTAACGAGCGAGCGAGGGGCTAAAATGAGGCAAATCCGAACCCTGGTTGTTTGGTACAAACCCAGGGTTGCATATCTCATACTTAAATAGCCAATATTGGCCATTTAGGTTCAGATTAAATGAAATGATCTGAGAATGAATAGTGAAAGTTAATCAACAATCTCTATTTAAGTAGGCCATCTGAAATTAAGCCTAAGTCTTTTGACCACTTCGGTATGTTAATTATAGACAATTATTTATTTTGCACGGCTGTGCAGCATTATCCACATAGCCTTAACAGTATTCAGAAGAAACACATCGTACACAGGGCTGCCAACTTGGCTCAAACCGTGCCATTTTTGGCCGTATTTTACTTAAAATGACACTTAATTTTTCAATTTGGCACTTTTGAAAAATAATATTTCTTTTTGTCAACTAAAATTTTCCAATTTCTATAGTGTATACAACTGGTTTATCTTACTTTGCATTGGACTTTTGTTTTAGGAATGTGTTTGTAATTTTAATGCTAAATGAGAAGAACTGAAAAGAATTACAGCTTTTTTGGCACTTTTATTTTTCTATTTAGCACATTTTGGCACTGTTTTATCCTCAATATGGCACTTCATAGCTAAGTATAGTTGGCAACCCTGATCGTACTAACTGAAATTTTTTCGCCTGCGCGATAGTAGAAGTACCTATGTATGTACACTTTTAAGATGCATGCATATGAATTATGCGTGGCTTTTATTGTATCTCTGTACAAATTTCCATAACTCCCTGTGTGAGGAAACCAAATAATGTAATTCTTAACAGAAGTGCTTAAAACTTAACAGTTTGGCAATTTAAACACTTACTACGTTTATACGCACAGAATAATCGACTTAATTGAAAGCGCATTGACACCGTACATATTTCGTTCTAGTGTTTATACGGCTTTAT